TGTGTGTGAGTGAGTGTGTGTGTGTGTGTGTGTGTGTGTGTGTGTGTGTGCGCGTGCGCATCGGGCGGAACTCCGCTGTGCGTGATACAGAGAGCGTGACTATAACTTAGAGACCGAATTGACATGCCGTCGTGTAAATAAGATAAATAACATAAGGCTATTTTGTTTGTTTAATAAAAGAACAAGGTATAGACCTGTTCTATAGGAAAGGTAACTTTAAATGTTTGGAGCGGTTCCAGCATAAATGACTCACTCAATTGAATCAGTTTGCAGAATGATTCACTGTTTCAAAGCGCTGCAATCAGACCGCGTATTGCGAATCAATTGATTCCGATCGAAACTTCGAATCATGTACGGTGAATCGTTTGATTTAGATCGGTGCTGCGTCCCAATTCACCTACTTATACTATGCCCTAAAATTATGTAGGCTACTCTTTTTGTGAAGAAAAAGTACATACTTTTAAGTATGTAGCAGAACAGTAGGCAAGCTTTGGGACATACTAATTCTATTTTCGAACACTGTTTAGGACGGATAGTATGCGAATTGGGACGCAGCACAGCACTTCGGAGCGGGTTCGCGAATCATTTGATCTGAACTTTGCGTTATCGCAAATCATTTGATTCAGATCGGGATTTCGCGAATTCAAATTATTTGCGATTCTCCGACTCCTAATCTGAAATGATGCTTCGCCAAACACCAGTGTTGGGAAGGTTACTTTGGAAATGTTATAGGTTACAGATTACAAGTTACCCTATCTAAAATGTAATGAGCATTGTAACTATTTCAATTACTTTATTAATGTAACCGATTACATTTTTACTTTTTGATTACTTTTCAAAATTTTTGAAAAGTTTTGAAACATTTAAAGCAGGCATGGTTAACCTTACAGTAGTACTCAACACTCATTACTGTCAGACTTCTTAAAATCCTTTCTTACTTTAACGAAGATCGTAATAATTTCATTGTAGAGCACAGCCACCACAAATTCAGACTTTAGCACCTCTTTTACTTTGAGATCATTCTGAGGTTAAATACAGATTTAAAATCATAACAAAAATACTGTTTTTGAAATCAAATCTTTGCATAGGTATGACAGGAAACACTGGCATCTAACAATGCCATAGAAACAACAGTTAATCTTAAAAAATTAAGCATACACAAACCCAAATAGGAAATAAATCAGTTATCGAATAAGCATGCGTCCTATTCTGTGTCCTAAACTCCTGAAACATTGCAGTCTCATATTTAAGAGCAGTCAATGCAATTTGGGAAAGAAATCAATTAAATCTGTATGTGGGTGTTTGTGTAAAAAAAAAAATCAGATGCAACCCCCTTTGTAATCGTTAACATTTTCGTAAGTAACAATAAGTTATATAATTTAGAGGCTATATAAGTAATATAATTTTCTCAGTAACTGTAACTGATTACAATTACATTTATTTAGTAATTAAATTACGTAATATGTTAAATGTAACTTATATTAACACAGACTGCCGCAAAATAACGATACCTAACGCAAACCCATAATAACAGAAAATAAACATCATACATTTCACTCACTTTTAAATTGAACATCAAAAACACACATAAGGATTGTTTTCTTTTTTAAACCTTTCCTGACACTGTATTTCCGTATCAGAAATAGTTAAGCAAGCAGCAGTGTGAGGTCAATAGCGCGTCTATAAATAGCTCAGGGCCGTAAAGGTTGAGTCAGAGAGAGAGGGTTAATGATCAGCTCGTCTCAGGGTCAGTACTCACTGTATATTGATTTAGCACTGGGTCTGGATAAACCCGACAGATCCGAGGATGCGTCATCCAGAGCCGTGACGCTGCGGGAAAGCACACGGGTCAGACAGTGTGAGGAGTCGTAACACACACCAATCAGAGCCCATTCTCACCTGGAGCGAAGCGATTCAGGATAACCGCTGGACCAGCCGAACGGACTCGAACCCCGCAGCATGAGGACAGCACCTGAACACAACACTACACCATCAACACACACATCCACACGCTTCATTTATATTTCACATTTACTATACATAATATCCATTTATTATATATCAAACAAATGACATTAAATTAAATTACTTGTTAATTACAGGTGAAAAGTACTATTTTGATATTACATTGAATCAATTACACAACTGTTCAAAATTATGCAATAAATACTTATGTACATGCGAGTATATATTTAACTGTCCATTTATTATATATTAAACAAATATCTAAATATTACATTAACTTAACATACTATAGACGAAAATGTAGCCCGATATTTAAATATTAAATATTAAATCAATTATACATAATTAATATAATTTAATAGAAAACAGTTTAATGTAACATTTTAGCCAATTTTTTAATTATTAATTAGAGTTTGATAATTATATCTAAATTTGACAAAGACATTACATTACAAAATGTAATATTACATACTAAATTACATTTTAATTTATTAACCTTGTTTAAATGTAACTATATATATATATCGCATCCAAAATAAAAGATTTTGTTTACATAATATATGTGTGTTCTGTGTATATTTATTATGTGTATATATATATATATACACACACACATACACACACACATACAGTATATATTTTGAAAATATTTACATGTTTATACATTTATATATTCATATTCTAAAGACATTACATTACAAAATGTAATATTACATACTAAATTACATTTTAATTTATTAACCTTGTTTAAATGTAACTATATATATATATATATCGCATCCAAAATCAAAGATTTTGTTTACATAATATATGTGTGTTCTGTGTATATTTATTATGTGTATATATATATATATACACACACACATACACACACACATACAGTATATATTTTGAAAATATTTACATGTTTATACATTTATATATTCATATTCTTTTATTTTATATTATATATACATATATTTAATATATAAAACATTTTTCTAATATATATATACACACAGTATACACACACATTATGTAATCAAACACTTATTTTGGATGCGATCAATCATGATTATTTATTTGACAGCACTAATATATATATATATATAAAACTTAGGGCTAAATATTACTTTATATACATTAAAATACTATTTAAATATTATATTTACTACGTTATATACAGGCATACATAGGAATACCATGGTATTCTCATCCCTTACAAAACAAATACCATGGTATTGTCTGAAATACCACTGAATACCATGCACACCATAGTATTACCATGTGAAGCCTCATTGGGTCATGGTAAAGTACTATGGTACCTTTAGGTATAATTTCGTTTTTCACCAATCTTCACAGTAAAAAACATGGTACTTTAGTTCACTAAGGTGCTTGCATAACATTGTAAGGTATTTCAAAAATATTACGACATTTCCGAGGACCTTAGGTAACGTTTTATGGTAATAGCTTGGCACATTTGGTTGTGTAAGGTAGAACAAAACCACGCTATTACCATATTTTACAGAAAAATACCATGGCATTGTCTGAAATACTACACAAATGGTACAGGAACTTGATTTTTTATGGTACTACTGTTAAATATCATCAATACACCAATACAGTAGCACTTACACCAATGATACAGCACTTGAAGAATACCATGGTATTTGTATTGTAATACTTGGCAAGTATGGAATCAAGGACTCCTGTGTGTTTCATGTTCTCATTTAAAGTCAATAATGGATTGTGTTAATTACTGTAGCTGACGATCTGCCCATGTTTACGAGCTCATAAACCACGATCCACAGGAACAGGACATAACAGCTAGAGAAGCACATGAGAAAACCTCAAAGATTCAATCACAAATACACCAAGAGTCCTGATTAGCCATTCGATGAAGATCAAACTTGTGCGTGTATGTGTGTGTGTGTGTGTACAAACAAACAAAAAAGAACAAAGTACACTGGATAAAGGAAGAACAAAAACTCAGTGATTTTGTGTTTTTCTCTTTTTATTTTGATAAATCCATACAACATTAATACACAAATCTGCATGATGGGACGTCAAACACATGATGCAGTTAAAAACATAGGAGAGCCAAGAAAAGTGCGAGAAAGCGGACCACACGTGTAACATACATCTGCAGTAAAAGCAGGAGAGCGCAGCTAAAAGCTCAGACGTCAGAAGCAGCGGCTGATAAAAGCGGTCACCTGCGTCAGTGCTGCGCCTGCGGGAGCTGCATGCTGGGAGGCAGAGGCCAGTTCTCCTGCCCCTGGTGCGTCTGCAGGAGACGGTACAGCTGCTTCAGGTGTGTCACGATGTTGTCCTTGATGTCTGGGATGGAGATCTGCAGCCGCACGCTGCCGCTGTCGAAGGAGCGTGTGCAGTCGCCCGAGAACATCTCACTGATCATCCGTGCCACCACCGGCACCACCTGCACGCGCACACACACACACACACACACACACACACACACACGCACACACACACACGCACACGCACAATATGAAAAAACAACAACCAGATCATCAGGATATTGTGCTGGTGCTACAACAGCAGCTTGATGTGCTAAATAATATATACACACACACACACATATATATATATATATATACATAAACTAGTTTAACTTACTAAAATAACAAACTGAAGAAAAAATATGAATGAAAACTACACAAACGCATTAAAAAACCCAATAAAAACTACACAAAATTACTCAAACAAAATCTAATTCAAAAACAAATCTAGATCTTAAAGATATGCAATAGTTAAATAAAATCTAACTCAATAAAATGCAATCTAACGTACAAAAAATAAAATCTAACTCAAACAGCATCTCGAATCTAAAATGACAACCTTTAGTATCTGAGAACAAAATCTGACACACACACACACACACACACACACACACATACAGATACACACACAATGAGTGAACAAGCCACACCCACAGATACTTCTGATTGGCCCATCAGTTAACATCTGCATAATTTATGCAGCACAGCAAAGCTGAGCTATTTTTAACTTGGTAAAAACAACCAATATCAGTTTATTTTATATGAACAACATATTTGCACATGCTTCTACATGATTAATTATATTTCATTGGTTATAATTCTGATCAATAATAGATTAATACATACATTCAAAATAATAGTCATAAATATTATTAAAATACACAGAGCATATATTTGGTGGAAGGCAGCATCAAAGTGGGACTACTTAATTTGGTAAAAACAACCAATATCAATTTATTATTTACTGTGAAAACATCATATTTGTATTTAAGGTGATGTTAATTTGTTGCTTCGACATGATCAATCAATTTACTTGATAGGCAAGTACAAAGCTACTTATAGGTTCATCAAATTTAAATTTGAAACGGTTTTAATAGTTTTACATTTTTTTAAATTGTAAGTATCAAAGTAAAGCGTAATAATATATAATAAATTAAAAAGTGCAAAAAAATTATTTAATAAATTTAAAAATGAAGTACATTTTATCTGCATAATTTCTAGTTAATATTGGTTAAAAACCTCTAATTATTATGAATGGTTGTTAAACTTGGGGTTTAATGAAAACCCCTTCTTTGATTTATCGTTATTGTTATTTATGTTTCATTTATATTATATAATTAACATTTTTCTTCATTTATTTGTTCACAACTGCCTAAAATATTTAACACAAAATTATCCATATCTTTTATTCATTAATTTATTCACATGTATTTTTATTTATTTGTTATGTTTACGTTCATAATTTAATCCCACATATATTTAATACAAAGTCCTCCTCACGTGCCATTTTATTTACTCATTTATATTTATTTGTATTTAATAATAATTTCATTTATTTATGTATGTATTAATTTATATTTTAAGGTTCACAATTTATTCCCAAATGTATTTTTTTAGTTTATAATTCATTCCTTATACAACATCCTCCATATTTGCATGTTATTTTATTTATTCGTAAGTTCATAATTCATTCCCTAATAACAGAAAGTCCTTTATCAGAAAGTCCTCCATGTATGTATTTGTCTCTTTGATTATATTTGCTCTATTTGTCTGAATAAGTGCAGTGGCGTGGGGTCTGACCTGCACCGTGATGAGTTTGCGTTCGCGCGGTCTGCCGTCGGGCCACTCCTCACCGAAACACAGATGAATATCGTAGAGCGGAGACTCAGACGACAGCATACCACGCTGATGAGCGATCACACCTGCACACACACACAACACTATTAATAACACATTTTTTTGTGGTTTTGTTTGTTTTTTTTTATTTTACTTGGAATCGCATACAATTAGGCCTGGGCGATAATTCGATAACGATAATTATCGCGATATAATTTTCCTCGATAAAACAATAAAAAGAGTTCGATAAATGTTCGATATAACGTTTATGCACCAAAAGAGGAACGAAACAGCACGACTCATTTGAATCGTGCCACACGGACCGTTTATCCGCGCGGCGCGAGCTCTATGCAGCGCTGTGAGATCCAGTGTGAAGCGCTTGAATTCAGCGATGAACACAAATGACTCTGTGAGTTAAACTAGTTTAATGCCAAACAGGGCTGGACGATTTTCCCGATTTTATAGATTAATTCGAATTTATTGTTTTGCCACGATTTTATTTTTTAGAAATCGAGGAATCGCGATTTTGAATAGAAATATTACCAAATGTTAGAATTGGAAACTTTGACAATATGTCGGTGATAACAGTAAAGAGAAAAGAACGATCCAACCGCATGTCGGCGCACGTGATTAACCGCTCGCGTGTGACGCGCTCTGTGAAGGACCATACATTTAGCGCTAAGCGCCATTCACACAGCGTTTTTGGGTTGACAAAGATCCGACACGGGCAGTTGAATAGGTAAAACATGCAAGAAGATGGGAGTGAACTTCTTTTAACTTGAGCGCAGTGTTTTTAGAAAGCCGTTTCATGCATGAGACGCTGCAAGAGTCCAACAGTCAAACACATCCATGTTTACACAGAAAAAACATTGGAAAGGCAGCGCAATCTAATAAAAAACCTGTAAAGAACTACTACTGTATGTCTGATATTTCATGTTTGCATCACAGCGACAGACTGAAAGCTGCTGTTGTTTTTACAGAACATTTGTAGTTAATGATAGTCTACTGCTGTTATACCTTCAGTCATTTAGAATTTGAATTACCGTGACTTTTGAGAATTTCTAAAAGGATTTTCCTCATATTATTTCTGAACACATAATATGTATAAGACAAGTTTGTACAATATGTAGTTGTAGTTTTTGCATCTTTTCTGCAAAGATATTTAACACGCGATTTGTTTAACATTTACATCATGTTGACAACTTCATGTGTGCTGCACTTGGAATAGAATTTTCTTTAACTAGAGGGTTAATAAAGAAAAAAAGTAACGTGAATCATGTTATAGTTACATTTTCAAGTTGACTAGTTAAAAATCGTAAAAAAAAAAAATCGGTGAAACATTCTGGAAAAAAACTAGATTTAAATTTTTTGCAAAATCGCCCAGCCCTAAAGCCAAACAGGAGAAACACTGTGTGCAACGAGACAGTCAGAAGGCTTTTCAATCTTCACATCGCCATCATTCACCATGGATTTACTGTAGTAACACTCACTGCACCATGCATGGTATTGTGGCAGAAATGTGGGATATTCACGTTGAATTTTATTACAGAAGTAAAGGTATATAATTGTAGTATGTATTTGTGATTAAGCTATAGCATGTGTGCATTTATGCTGAATGTTGTTAGACTACAGTTTTTCATACAAATAGGCTACTTAAAAACCATATAGTTATATTTTTATCATGGTATTGAGGTGCTATGTTTGTGGTTTTAACCGTACTATGGGAGACCAATGCTTAATTAAGAAAAAAGAAACGGTCAGAATAAATGTAACCATATAAAACTGAGGTTGCTACAATTTTTACAGGTGTTACTGATCATGAACAAAAATGTATCTCTGCATCCTAACTCGAGCTACTATCAAATGTGCATTTCTAAGAGACAGAAAAGTGATATTATTATTATTAATATTATCAGGCAACCCAAACCTGTTTCTTGATTTGAAAAATATCACTCATTAGAACATGCACAAACTAAGAAAAAAAAATTATATTTAGATATTTATTTTGTTAAGGAAAATTAACGGTCTGGTTTCTACAACTTTCACTGTGGAGCAAAAATCTGGCTTCAAACTTGAAAGAAATTTTAAAAGATTTGACATTTATCGTGATAATTATCGATATCGACTGATATGAAAAAAAATATTGTGATAATTTTTTTGGCCATATTGCCCAGCCCAATATAATAAAATAAAAATAAATAAAACATACAAATAAAATGTCATAATATTTATATAATTATTTATAGTATAATTCAATAGCATCTCACAAGCATGAATACTGATGATTAATTGTCACAGAAATAATTACAAATATGATAAATGATAAATGAATGATAGAATAAATGATCAATTGTCATCCAAATAATTATGATTAACAATTTAATTGTTTTGATCACTTTTGATCAACAGATCAATTTTTTTATTGGAACTGTAAATGAT